TTCACACATTAAATTCAATATGGCGTCTCTTCTCTGGCGTCACTACTGGCTGTTCTACACCTCTCTCCCTCGAAATTTCTCAAAGGTTCCAAATAACATCACATTTTAATACACAGTTATTACATTATTCATTTATATGTTCTACATTTAGGAAATTATGTAAAAAAAATTCACAATGGACAAGGCAGTTTATAGGGGAAAAACAAACATATTAGGAAACAGTGAAACTCACATGCCTCTTAAGCTTCAGGGCCCCTAATCCCGGAGGGGCCCCGGAAGTGACTTTCACCCACATTGCTTAAAAATTCTGGGTCTACTGTATGAGGAGGAGTTGCGATGGGGCTCCAATAACAGATCAAGCTTCAGGGCCCCAAAAATGTAGGGCCGCCACAAGACTTTATAGGGTAACTGTCGTCCACAGAAAGTGGGTAGGAAGGGTATGGGATACATAAAAAACTACTGTATTTTCCGGCATATAAGGCGTGCTTTTCTTTTACTTCTAAAATCACCCTGCGCCTTATATGCTCAAGGTCAGGGTCAAGGATAGGGTTTGGGTTACGCTTTAGCCGTTACTAACGTTACTAACGTTAGGTTACAACTGCTTGGAAACATCTTACATGCTCGTGCGCCTTATATGCCGGAAAATACGGTATAAGCCTAACTACTCGATTAGTTTACAAAGCCGGCTCAAAACCTGACTTAACCAAGGTGGAAAACAAGTTTCTCCCTAGTAACTGGCGTAACTAAATCATCCTAGGATGATAAGTTACCCAAATTGTAATTTGACAGTGGTCTAGGACGGACAGCGACCGCGTCATGTGGTTTCTCGCCTAAATGCAGGTTTCCAGTCAACTGTTCCAGCCACGATGCTGTAATCTTTTGTTCTCTGTAAATTACCCAAATTAATTGTAAAACACTGAGGAAGGTTTCCATTCTTTATTTATACAGAAAAATAACCATATATCTAATTTTCTTTCATAAAAAAGATTATCATCGCAAATTCACGTTGCTAATATTTTCCGCGACGACAGTTAATTATGATTTGTGGTGATTGTTTATTAAAGGAGAAGTGTTATGAGTGGTAGCTGTCAGTCAGCTGTCATAGTGGCAGGGTTCAGGGAGAGCTAGCCAGGCAGGGTGCAGGGAGTGAGAGCTAGCCAGGCAGGGTGCAGGGAGTGAGAGCTAGCCAGGCAGGGTGCAGGGAGTGAGAGCTAACCAGGCAGGGTGCAGGGAGTGAGAGCTAACCAGGCAGGGTGCAGGGAGTGAGAGCTAGCCAGACAGGGTGCAGGGAGTGAGAGCTAGCCAGACAGGGTGCAGGGAGTGAGAGCTAGCCAGACAGGGTGCAGGGAGTGAGAGCTAGCCAGGCAGGGTGCAGGGAGTGAGAGCTAGCCAGGCAGGGTGCAGGGAGTGAGAGCTAACCAGACAGGATGCAGGGAGTGAGAGCTAGCCAGGCAGGGTGCAGGGAGTGAGAGCTAGCCAGACAGGATGCAGGGAGTGAGAGCTAGCCAGGCAGGGTGCAGGGAGTGAGAGCTAGCCAGGCAGGGTGCAGGGAGTGAGAGCTAGCCAGGCAGGGTGCAGGGAGTGAGAGCTAACCAGGCAGGGTGCAGGGAGTGAGAGCTAGCCAGACAGGATGCAGGGAGTGAGAGCTAGCCAGGCAGGGTGCAGGGAGTGAGAGCTAGCCAGGCAGGGTGCAGGGAGTGAGAGCTAGCCAGGCAGGGTGCAGGGAGTGAGAGCTAACCAGGCAGGGTGCAGGGAGTGAGAGCTAGCCAGACAGGATGCAGGGAGTGAGAGCTAGCCATGCAGGGTGCAGGGAGTGAGAGCTAACGAGACAGGGTGCAGGGAGTGAGAGCTAGCCAGGCAGGGTGCAGGGAGTGAGAGCTAGCCAGGCAGGGTGCAGGGAGTGAGAGCTAGCCAGGCAGGGTGCAGGGAGTGAGAGCTAGCCAGGCAGGGTGCAGGGAGTGAGAGCTAGCCAGGCAGGGTGCAGGGAGTGAGAGCTAACCAGGCAGGGTGCAGGGAGTGAGAGCTAGCCAGGCAGGGTGCAGGGAGTGAGAGCTAACGAGACAGGATGCAGGGAGTGAGAGCTAGCCAGGCAGGGTGCAGGAAGTGACAGCTAGCCAGGCAGGGTGCAGGGAGTGGCAGCTAGCCAGGCAGGGTGCAGGGAGTGAGAGCTAGCCAGGTAGGGTGCAGGGAGTGGCAGCTAGCCAGGCAGGGTGCAGGGAGTGAGAGCTAGCCAGACAGGATGCAGAACACTCACGTTACTCGTGACTCACAAAATCGTAATAACACAACTGCAAAGCACAGTACAGGTGGGGTTAGAACCCATGGTGAGAGTCATAAAACTCCAGGCCAGTGTGTAAGCCTGAAGGGGAAAAAATGAAATGGTATCGAAAGCAAGTTTACACCTGCCGCTTTGCTCCAAATTGTTGTCTTCTTAGTCATGCCGTATTAGATTTTGAGCCAAAAACTATACTAATTTTTCGTGCATCTAACGATTCTTTTCTAAAATAGAAAAGTAACCTTATTTGCACATTTATTTAGTATTAACTGGTAACATCTCCTTGGGGAAAAAAAATAGCAAGTAGGAGACGGCTTATGTGCCGTCACATAATATCCGATACCCACCCTAAATTCTGATGTTATGACATAACTCGATAGTCATAGGTCAGGAATATCATGTCTTATATACACTGATTGACTTTCCTGAAACATCCTGGGTTACTAAGCCTCTGGGCTAATAATGCGAATAAAGCCTTCGACCTTATATATATATATATATATATATATATATATAATATATATATATATATATATATATTATATATATATATATATATATATAAACACTAGCAATACTGAGGTGAGAGGATGCTGGTGATGGTAGGGCCGTGGCTGCTGCCTCAGCTCCTGCCTGCCTTCTCTTCTTGTATTCTTCCCACATCTTCACTCGGGCTGCTGCATTCTCTATTATTAATAAATATGTTTTTGTTTAATTTGGGGATCTTTTTTGTATTTCAGAGATTGTTTAAATATTATAATTTAAACATCATTTATATTTGATATGACAATGTAATAAAATGTAGATAAATATGAAAGGTTGAACATAGTTTGTTGATATTATTGAATTTCTTTTTGTGACCATGTACAAATATGAGTCTACCATTGGGTTCATCTTCCATCAGGAGGGTTGGAGAATTACTGTTGCTCTCCTACCCTTGCTGGTCAGGACGTTGAGGTGGGTAGCTAGGAGACCACCAGCCTGCCCGTCGCCGCTCCAGTAACGGCCGCATCACCGTTTTCTTTCAGCGGGCGGGAGGGGAGACGGAAGTGGAGCCGACGAGTCCTTATCTCGACCGTGCTCTCTGTACTCACCCTCGCCACCGCCTTTCCTCTATACACGAAACCCGCGAGCATGACTTAGCACGTAATGCGAGGATGGTAGTCATCATTCTTTGTTTTTTTAAATTTCTCAGGGTTTAAAATTCAGCTGATATCTTTCTATTCAATTAGCAAAGTGCTATTATTTTTTCTTGTCTAACTTTTACTGCGTATTCATCCAACTACTCGCGTTTCAAATTTCTTATTTTCTTCTTGATTTTCATGATATAAAACTCTTCTTGATGTCACATGAATGAAGCTGCTGGGTCTAGTACAGTAGCTAGGGTGGGTCAGTCACTAGTGCATGAAGCCTGAAGTTAACCAGCCGTCCAACCATATGTGCTAAGGCTCATCCTCGTTGTGCGGACAATGTCCTAGGTTTGGTGCGTAGAGGCTCTCATCCGACACTCATCACACACACACATACACACACACAGTAGTGGGTCACATTAGAAAGAGAGAGCTTAGCTCAGGATGAGGGAGAAAAAAAGATATACAAGGAAACAGGTCTCTGTCCCTGGGGTAACCAGATGATCCAGCCATTGTGACACCAGAACTTCTGTCCTCGCCACCAAGTTGTAATTTAAATTAAGCCCTACTAAATTTACCGGACGGGATTAAATGAGTATAATGGGGATGTTGCAACTAGTTCATATAATCTTTACTAGTTTCACAACTTTTTCAAAATTAAGTCAAATGCGACTCACAATCTGGACTTTAATTGACTAAGGCGTGCCCAGATAAATGTTGAAGGGTTCGACTGGACAAGAAGGTGTAGCTGCAGCCTGGAACTAACCCCGAGAGGATAACCGGGACCTGCAAGTCAGTTATATATGGACATGCACACTTGAGTAGAACGCAGAGGGTACTAGAGGTCTAGTGGGTTAATGGAGGATGGTCGCATAAGTTACTCAAATAATATATCAAGCAGGGGAGTCAAAATAACCTCCTCGAACCCCTGGCTACACCTAATGTGACCCATTGGCTGCAGTTTATTTTCTAACTTATGGTGCATGAGATTATTTTAATGATTACTTTTGTGAGGTAACAAAGTGAATACATATATATTTTGCAGTGAAATAATAACACAATACTTCAAGTAAAAATAAACACTATTAACATAAATTTTTGACCTCGTCCTCCGGTAAATTTAAAATCCTTGACCACAGTGATAGTTAGGTCTGCTATCAGATATGCCAGTCAGGTTTGTCATGTAATTTTAACGGTCTTTTTATCCTACCTTGCAGAGTGCAAAGCTAACCTAGCACTCTAGCCACATTTGCAGGAGCGAGTCGACCGGGGCTGGCGGAGAGGAGTAGAGCAGTGAGTGTCAGCGGCTGGGTAAGTGGCTCCCTCTTGTGCTGAAGTCTTACAGGCCCTCACCCACCCCAGCTCCCATAACGCTAAACCCATCACTTTGTCAGTGTCACACATGCACAACCTAGTCTGTTTGTTTGTTTCAGAGATAGTGCCGGTCCCCGGCCTGTGTGGGTGAGTAAACTATTAATCGATCATGTTGGTTAACCCCTGTAATAGCGGCGGCAGCCATGCAGGGCATCTCAGGGTGGTCGTTACTGACACTCCCCAGCACCCTGGCTACGTATTTATGCTCCCTCCTTCTACAGGGCGGCTACGCTGCCTATCACCTTCCGCTGTATGAATGACAAGTGTGGGGTCGACCCACGTATCTCCCGCTTCGTTCTCCCTATCGGCGCCACGGTCAACATGGACGGCACTGCTTTGTTCGTATCTGTTGGCACCGTCTTTATCGCTCAGATGAATGAGCTGCCCCTTAGTGTGGGAGAATACGCCACTATCATGTAAGTTCTCTATTTATGTTTAATCATTAAAATACCCTCTCTTCTTGTGAAATAATTCATTATTTAAAAATGTCTTGTGTGACCTCAAAGTTAGTCTGTTCACTAAACCTAACATAAAACAGAATTGTGTAGAATTTAAGACTTAATAATTACTGTTACTTTCTAAAGTTTATTGTTTATGTACTTTAAAAATTAACACTATGAAGTTTATATTTCCCCCTCGACAATACTACGCTATAGCATTACTTTGATTAAAAAATGCAATAACTAAGTAAAATATGTGATGAATTTATATTTAACTATCATTTATTGATGTCTGTAAATATAGGATGTGTACACCAGGAGGTGTACACATCCTGTATGTACGTACGTACGTATGTAATAATATATATATATATTATATATATATATATATATATATATATATATATATATATATATATATATATATATAATATAAAATATATATATATAATAATATAAGTAGTATGATTTCTACAGAGTGGCTCCTCCCTCTGAGGGGTCTCCATGGTACGGTCTCCTCTGAGCGGACTCCTTTTCACACCTTTATGCTAATGACCTTAACCTCACCTCGACCTCCTCACCCTCGACCACCTCACCCTCGTCCACCTCGCCCTCGACCACTTCACCCTCGACCACCTCACCCTCGACCACCTCGCCCTCAACCCCCACCCACGCCCCCCACGCCCCCACCCACGCCCCCACCCGCCGCGCCCTCGCGCCTTCTGCAACGCGTGCAGCGTCGTCCGGATCGCCCCCGCCCCCCGAATTTTTTTCGATTTTTTTCGAATTTCATTTTCTTATGATCTCCATCTCCTCGGATCAAATTTTTGAGGTTCCCCCTCCCACTTTCACCCCATCCCAATTTTTTTCAAATTTTTTTAATTTCATTTTCTTATGATCTCCATCTCCTTGGATCAAGTTTTTTGGTTTCCCCCCTATGGGTACCCCTCCCACCACTCACTCCTACCCCAATTTTTTTTTTTCAAATTTTTTTTTTTTTAATTTCATTTTCTTGTGGTCTCCATCTCCTTGGATCAAGTATTTCTCCTCCATCTCCTTGGATCAAGTTTTTCTCGATATCAATAATACCAAGACTAGAACTCCTCGGATCAACACCCTTACACCACCCCCATCCCACAATTTCTCCTCCACTTCCTTGGATCAAGTTTTTGGGTTCCCCCCTCTGGGGGTAAGCATTCAAAATGGATTCCCACTTGCATCCCAAATTCCCTGCTCCAGTTCCTCGGATCAAGTTTTTTCTCTATCAATAATACAAAGATTTCCCCCACCATCCACTTCTACCCCAAATATTCCTGCTCTAGTTCCTTGGATCAAGTATTTCTCCTCCATCTCCTTGGATCAAGTTTTTTTGGATTTTCCCCTCTGGGGGTAAGCATTCAAATGAACTCCTCCTATCGGGCATAATACTTTCTCTTACTACAGGTCTAAACAAGTGTGACGTCACCCCACCTGTGTTTACTCGGCGGCGGTCAGTGACGTCACGCGATGACCTCACACACAGGCTGAATCTTGTCGACTTCCCCTATGTCAGTGACGTCACGCGATGACCTCAAAACACAGGCGGGAATCTTGTCGACTTCCCACTATGTCAGTGACGTCACGTGATGACCTCACACACACAGGCTGAATCTTGTCGACTTCCCACTATGTCAGTGACGTCACGTGATGACCTCACACACACAGGCTGAATCTTGTTGAGCAGACAATAAAATGCAGGATAACACTAATACACAATATTTTCATTTATTATACAACCAATGCATTTCATATACATTTCTGGTAATACAAATTCATTGAAAAAAGACACAATTCATTGACTAAAATCAACATATTTTTCTCTTGAAGAAATTCTGTGCATTTGGTTCTGGATCTTCTTCGTCGTCACCATCTCACTCCATACACACATCACAATACCAGGTCACTCTGTGTCCCCTTATTAACTTAAAATTAACTTAAATGAAGTAACATAGGATAACACTAATATTTTCCATTTTAAAGTATTACATTTTCTTCATTACATGAATTCTCAGTATTACACATGTCATATACAACATAGGGAAAACATTACACATTTTCACTCTTAACGCAGGATAACACAAACAATTCCACATTTTTTCTTCGTTAATACCCACAACAATCCACAATTTCTTTACAAAATACAACACAAGATTCACTCTCCTCAAGTCTAGATATTTTTTTCTCGTTTTAACTATTTCATCAGAAAAAGTCACCACAACTCTTACAACTTATAATCACTTTTCGATAAATTCACTAGTCACAATTTTACATATTACGAAGTTAACACACACACACACACACACACACACACACACACACACACACACACACACACACACACACACACACACACACACACACACACACCACCACACACCACTTTACTTTTAACAACAAAAAACACCATCAATTACCTTTGAATACTCCAAAAACATCATTCGAACACAGCCAAATCACCACTAAAATACTCCCAGATCACCTTCATAAATACTCTTGCACATCATTTGAACACCTTCAAAAACACCTTTGAATAGTCTCAAACACCATTTGAGTACTCCCAAATACCCCACTGAATACTACTAAAACACCACTGAATACAGTCAAAACACCACCAAAATCACAGACTAACACCCATTTTCACACAAATCCCCTCAAATCACTATAACCAAATAATTACCAATTTCTATGAGTACACTCACCTCCAATTAAGATATGAGCGCAAAAAAACATGAACACAACCCACAACACCCACAACAAAAACCCACTTATAACATCTTTTTTGTATCTCTAGTTCGACAACAACACCCACAACCCACATCACCCACAACCCACAACACCCACAACCCACAACACCCACAACCCACATCACCCACACCCCACAACACCCACAACAACAACCCACAATTTATAACCACTTTTCAGCATCTCTAGTTCGACAAACAACACCCACAACCCACATCACTCACAACCAACAACACCACAACAACAACCCACTTATAACATCCATTTTGGTATCTCTAGTTCGACAACAACACCCACAAACCCACAATACTCACAACCCACAACACCCCACAACCCACAACACCCACAACAACAACCCACTTATAACATCTTTTTCGATATCTCTAGTTCGACAACAATACCCAAAAACCCACAATACCCACAACCCACATCACTCACAACCCACAAACACCCACAACCCACATCACCCACAACAACAACCCACTTATAACACCTTTTCGGTATCTCTAGTTCGACAACAACACCCACAACCCACAACACCCACATCCCACAACACCCACAACCCACATCACCCACACCCACAACACCACAACAACAACCCACAACTTATAACCACTTTTCAGCATCTCTAGTTCGACAACAACACCCCCAACCCACATCACTCACAACCCCACAACACCACAACAGCAACCCACTTATAACATCCATTTTGTTATCTCTAGTTCGTCAACAACACCCACAACACTCCACAACTCACAACACCCACAACAACAACCCACTTATAACATCTTTTTCGATATCTCTAGTTCGACAACAATACCCACAACCCACAACACCCACAACCCACAACAACCCACAACACCACAACAACAACCCACTTATAACATCTTTTTCGATATCTCTAGTTCGACAACAATACCCACAACCCTCATCACTTACCAATTTATTCACAATTTTTCCTCTTTCGATACAAATTTTTCCCATTCTTTTTACTGAATCTTAAATGTAATACACATTCCTCCCTACATTGCTAAAATTCTAATAAAATCCTCTCCATACCCATCTCCTTGTATCCACATAAACTGATATTATACTCACAACAACTAATCTCACTACCCAACTACTGCGACATGTTTCTACACCCTCCATTCTTTTCCAATATATCATAAATTTTCACTTCTATCATTTCTTTTAAAATATTCACACATTACCTTTATTTTCAGTAAAATCCCCCCCCCCCCCATATTTCATTAAATTTCTAATACAACCCTCCCCATACCCCTCTCCATCTCACCCACATTTCTTCACATCCACTCACCCATCTCCCAACACACCTCTTCTGAACACACACAAAAAATCACATTTCACATCCACAAATGCATCTCATCACCCATCTCAAATCCACTAAAATCACTGTAACCAAGATATTCACAAAACTCTATGACCCCCTAACCCCAGGTAAACTCCAGGTAAACACACACACACACACACACACACACACACACACACACACCTCACTTTACTTTGAACACCTTCAAAACACTCTCATACATCATCATTTGAGACTACCTTTTCTCAATATCTCTTAAGAAATATTCTCTCATCCACAACCTTTATCATCTCACTACAGAACCCCAAGATTACTTCGAACACACTCATAAATCATTTGAATACTCACATAAACACCTTTGAACATTTCCAAACAACACTGAAGCACTTCCAAAATATCATTTTGAATACTCCCAAATAAGATTTATCATCTCTAATTTATCTACACTTACACATTTCATTAAATTACAACTCATCCACCATACTACTCCCTCAGTCTCCAGACTTTACAACATTATCACAAAAACTAACTCTTTACACTTATGACATGAGACATTTTACCAAAACTAACACAAACACACCCACACACACCACACTTTACTTTGTACGACACCAAAAACAACATCAATTACCTTTGATTACTCCAAAAACATCATTTGAACACATTCAAAAACATCAACAAACTCCTTTGAATACTCCCAAAACACCACTGAATACTACCAAAACAGCACCGAATACTGCCCAAACAACACTAAAAATCACCAGAAACTAAGATCAACACCAACTAACACCCATTTTATAGAAATCCCCTCAAATCACTATAATCAAGACGATCCCACTCACCTCAGACTATTAAATAACATGAGCGCAAAAAAAAACTCATAAATCATAAAATCCTAGGTAGTAGGTTGGTAGACAGCAACCGCCCAGGGAAGTACTATCGTCCTGCCAGATGACTGTGAAACAGAAACCTGTAACTGTTTTGCATGATGGTAGGATTGCTGGTTTCTTTTTCTGTCTCATAAACACGCTAGATAAAAAGGGATATCTTGCTACTCCTACTTACACTTTGGTCACACTTCACAGACACGCACATGCATATATATACATACATCTAGGTTTTTTCCTTTTTCTAATAGCTCTTGTTCTTCTTTATTTCTTCTATTGTCCATGGGGAAGTGGAAAAGAATCTTTCCTCCGTAAGCCATGCGTGTCGTATGAGGCGACTAAAATGCCGGGAGCAATGGGCTAGTAAACCCCTTCTCCTGTAGACATTTACTAAAAAAGAGAGAAGAAAAACTTTATAAAAACTGGGGTGCTTGAAAGTGCGTGGATGTAGTGCGGATGACAAGAAACAGATGATTGCTGATGTTATTAATGAAAAGAAGTTGGATGTCTGGCCCTAAGCGAAACAGAGCTGAAGGGGTAGGGGAGTTTCAGTGGGGGGAAATAAATGGGATTAAATCTGGAGTATCTGAGAGAGTTAGAGCAAAGGAAGGGGTAGCAGTAATGTTGAAGGATCAGTTATGGAAGGAGAAAAGAGAATATGAATGTAAATTCAAGAATTATGTGGATTAAAGTAAAGGTTGGATGCAAAAAGTGGGTCATAATAAGCGTGTATGCACCTGGAGAAGAGAGGAATGTAGAGGAGAGAGAGAGATTTTGGGAGATGTTAAGTGAATGTATAGGAGCCTTTGATCCAAGTGAGAGAGTAATTGTGGTAGGGGACCTGAATGCTAAAGTAGGAGAAACTTTTAGAGAGGGTGTGGTAGGTAAGTTTGGGGTGTCACGTGTAAATGATAATGGGAGCCCTTTGATTGAACTTTGTATAGAAAGGGGTTTAGTTATAGGTAATACATATTTTAAGAAAAAGAGGATAAATAAGTATACAAGATATGATGTAGGGCGAAATGACAGTAGTTTGTTGGAATATGTATTGGTAGATAAAAGACTGTTGAGTAGACTTCAGGATGTACATGTTTATAGAGGGGCCACAGATATATCAGATCACTTTCTAGTTGTAGCTACACTGAGAGTAAAAGGTAGATGGGATACAAGGAGAATAGAAGAAGCATCAGGGAAGAGAGAGGTGAAGGTTTATAAACTAAAAGAGGAGGCAGTTAGGGTAAGATATAAACAGCTATTGGAGGATAGATGGGCTAATGAGAGCAAGGCAATGGGGTCGAAGAGGTATGGGGTAGGTTTAAAAATGTAGTGTTAGAGTGTTCAGCAGAAGTTTGTGGTTACAGGAAAGTGGGTGCAGGAGGGAAGAGGAGCGATTGGTGGAATGATGATGTAAAGAGAGTAGTAAGGGAGAAAAAGTTAGCATATGAGAAGTTTTTACAAAGTAGAAGTGATGCAAGGAGGGAAGAGTATATGGAGAAAAAGAGAGAGGTTAAGAGTGTGGTGAAGCAAGTAAAAAGAGAGCAAATGAGAGGGGGTTGAGATGTTATCAACAAATTTTGTTGAAAATAAGAAAAAGTTTTGGAGTGAGATTAACAGGTTAAGGAAGCCTAGAAAACCCAAATGGATTTGTCAGTTAAAATAGGAAAAGTAGATTTTTATTAAATGGAGAGTTAGAGGTATTGGGAAGATGGGGGGGAATTTTTTGAGGAATTGTTAAATGTTGATGAAGATAGGGAGCTGTGATTTCGTGTATGGGGCCCAAGGAGGAATAACCATCTTGTAGGGTGAGGAAGAGCCAGTTGTGAGTGTGGGGGAAGTTCTTGAGGCAGTAGGTAAAATGAAAGGGGGTAAGGCAGCCGGGGATTAAAAATGGGTAAAGATAGAAATGATAAAAGCAGGTGGGGATATAGTTTTGGAGGGGGGTTGGTGCATTTTTTTAATGAATGTATGGAAGAGGGTAAGGTACCTAGGATTGGCAGAGGCATGCATATTTCCTTTGTATAAAGGAAAAGGGGGACAAAAGAGAGTCCCAAAAATTATGGGGGGATAAGTCTGTTGAGTATACCTGGTAAAGTGTATGGTAGAGTTATTATTGAAAGAATTAAGAGTAAGACGGAGAATAGGATAGCAGATGAACAAGGAGGCTTTAGGAAAGGTAGGGGGTGTGTGGACCAGGTGTTTACAGTGAAACATATAAGTGAACAGTATTTGGATAAAGGCTAAAGAGGGCTTTGTGGCATTTATGGATTTGGAAAAGGTGTATGACATGGTGGATGGGGAGCAATGTGGCAGATGTTGCAGGTGTATGGTGTAGGAGGTAGGTTACTGAAAGCAGTGAAGAGTTTTTACGAGGATAGTGAGGGCTCAAGTTAGAGTATGTAGGAAAAGAGGAAATTATTTCCCATAAAAGTAGGCCTTAGACAGGGGTGTGTGATGTCACCGTGGTTGTTTAATATATTTATAGATGGGGTTGTAAAAAGAAGTAAATGTGAGGGTCTTGGCAAGAGGCGTGGAGTTAAAAGATAAAGAATCACACATAAAGTGGGAGTTGTCACAGTTGCTCTTTGCTGATGACACGGTGCTCTTGGGAGATTCTGAAGAGAAGTTGCAGAGATTGGTGGATGAATTTGGTAGGGTGTGCAAAAGAAGAAAATTAAAAGTGAATACAGGAAAGAGTAAGGTTATGAGGATAACAAAAATATTAGGTGATGAAAGATTGGATATCAGATTGGAGGGAGAAAGTATGGAGGAGGTGAATGTAAGATAAGATAAGATTTCGTTCGGATTTTTAACCCCGGAGGGTTAGCCACCCAGGATAACCCAAGAAAGTCAGTGCGTCATCGAGGACTGTCTAACTTATTTCCATTGGGGTCCTTAATCTTGTCCCCCAGGATGCGACCCACACCAGTCGACTAACACCCAGGTACCTATTTGCTGCTAGGTGAACAGGACAACAGGTGTAAGGAAACGTGTCGAAATGTTTCCACCCGCCGGGAATCGAACCCGGGCCCTCCGTGTGTGAAGCGGGAGCTTTAGCCACCAGGCCACCGGGCCTGGGCGTGGACGTGTCAGCGGATGGGTCTATAAAAGATGAGGTGAATCATAGAATTGATGAGGGGAAAAGGGTGAGTGGTGCACTTAGGAGTCTGTGGAGACAAAGAACTTTGTCCTTGGAGGCAAAGAGGGGAATGTATGAGAGTATAGTTTTACCAACGCTCTTATATGGGTGTGAAGCATGGGTGATGAATGTTGCAGCGAGGAGAAGGCTGGAGGCAGTGGAGATGTCATGTCTGAGGGCAATGTGTGGTGTGAATATAATGCAGAGAATTCGTAGTTTGGAAGTTAGGAGGAGGGGGGCGATCCGGACGACGCTGCAGAAGGCGCGAGGGCGCGGGCGGGTGGGGGCGTGGGTGGGGGTTGAGGGTGAGGTGGTCGAGGTGAGGTGGTCGAGGGTGAGGTGGTCGAGGGCGAGGTGGTCGAGGGTGAGGTGGTCGAGGGTGAGGTGGTCGAGGGTGAGGTTAAGGTCATTAGCACAAAGGTGTGAAAAGGAGTCCGCTCAGAGGAGACCGTACCGTGGAGACTGCTCAGAGGTAGGAGCCACTCTGTAGAAGGCCTTTCGGGAGGAGACCACTCAGAGGTAGGAGCCACTCTGTAGAAATCAGTACTACTTTGATTATTATTATATAATATATATATATATATATATATATATATATATATAATATATATTATAATATATATATATATTATGTATGTATGTATATGCAAAACAACCACTAGTTCCTTGACAATGTGAGTAGTCACGAAAGAACTTGGAATTTCACTACTCTTTCACAGTGGTTGTTTTGCATAATTTAAAATCATCTGTTTACTGTGATCTTATTGCATATATATATATATATATATATATATATATATATATATTATATATATATATTATATATATATATATATATATATATATATATATATATATATATTATATATATTTGTATTTGCATGTTAGTGTGACGGCTACAGCTGCCAGCGTGGCCAGTGCTAGTGTACCCAGCGCAGCTCTGGTCTTGATCCTCATCGTTCTTACCTCCGTCAACCTGCCAGCAGAGGATGTTTCTCTCCTCTTCGCCATTGATTGGCTAGTGTAAGTTCTTGCATTTTTGTAACAGTGAGATGTGACTACTATTACTACTACTACTGCTTCGTCTGATACTACTACTACTACTGCTTCGTCTGATACTACTACTACTACTACTACTGCCACTTCTGCTATTACTTCTACTACTGCTATTTGTGCTGCTGCTATTACTATTACTGCTGCTGCTACTACTACTACTACTATTACTACTACCACCACCACTACAACTACTACTGGTTCTACTACTGCTGCTGCTGCTTCTACTACTTGGTTCCATATACAAGTCGCCTTTCTCCTGTTTGTATTTGATTGTAAGGGTACCCAGGTTTTCCACGTGTCTTATTCATCAACTTATAGGTATTATGCACTTTGATTTAATACATTAGACACCAGTTTCCTAAGTTTAAGGACTGCACAGGTGTGAGTAATTACGATACTTAATTACCGATATAATGGTATATTATGGAAAAGTACATAAATAAGTGATACAAATGGTTTAGAAAACTGACAAGTAGAAGAATGAGACACTTGTATACAACATTTTGAAATCTTTAGTTTATACTTTTCACCAGCTAGTGGCTTCTTCAGTCCAAAACAGAGAACAGTGGACTCCAGGCTGAGGACTAACTACCTCAAACCCATTTTCAACTGCTTTTTCTTTTGGACTGAAGAGGCCACTGGCTGGCAAAACATTTCCGCAGTAAAGAATTCCAAATGTTGCACAAGTGCCTGTAATAATTTTGACCCCCGGGTAAGAATTACACAAATGAGGGTTACCATAATCCCAGAGCACTTGATGCGTACCTTCCCTCACCCATCCCTTCACCCTTTATTCGGGTAGCATTGGTGAGGTGATTGTGTGGAGTGGTCTGGGGAACATAATTTCAAGATAGAGCTCAGTATGGACAGGGGTCAGCTTTGGGACCATTGTTTTTCACAATCTGCATAAACGACATTGAGAGAATAAAGCAATTAGTTTAATATCTTTATTATGCACCCCATACCCATCCTGTGGGCGGTAGTCAAAAGATTACAGAGGTACATAATTGGTCCAGGGACTGGACTCCAAAATTTTTAGAGCTGAACAAGTTACAAAGGTAATGAACTAAATCTGGTCACAATCATGACGTTACAAAGGTAATGAGCTCCAGGGAGAGCTGGTCACAATCATGACAAGTTACAAAGGTAATGAATCATAAACACGTCCATACATAGTTACAATCATGAACAGATTACAGAGTAATGAGCAATTAACAAACATTCTAGGGAATGCATCCATTGCCCCAACAACAGATGTTGCTAGGTGCCTGTTCCTGTTCGGCAGGATAGCCAGACAGCCATTGCAAACAGCAGCAGGTTGTGCCAGGATCTGTTGCATAAAGGAGCACCATCTACCCTCCCCAAGAGGTCAGCGACTCCACTAGAAGCCCGAGGGAGAGCTGCCCTGGGGACGTGTCAACGTCCTGGTGGATGCCAATTTGATTGCAGATCCCAGGCCCTCTGTAAAGGTGAAGGTACGGCAGCTGTCACCTCTGTCTGCTGGGAGGGGCTGTTGGTTGTTCCCACCTGGAGCCCTCCAGGGCCTTAAGCCATCCACCAACAACAAAATACCTTTTATCAGTGGACTTCTAGAGGAGTCTAATGCAATGTTTGCAGCCTTCACGGAGACTCACACAAAAGATCACTTTGACAGTGAAATATGGATAAGTGGTTACAACCTTTTTAGATGCGACAGAAAGAACAGGCAACAAGGGGGGGTTGGCCTGTATGTCAAAGAGTCCCTCATCTGCACGGAGTTGCTGAACACCACAAATGAGGTAGTTGAAGTTCTATCAATAAAGATCAAGAACCAAAACCTAGTCATTGTGGTTGTATATAAGCCACCAGATGCAACCTCACAACAGTTCAAGGAACAGCTACTGAAAATTGATTACTGTTTGGAAACCTTCCAGCTCCATCCCCAAACATCTTACTGCTTGGTGATTTCAACCTAAGGCATACAAAATGGAAGAATGTAGCAAATAATGTTATAGCTGAAACAATCCCCGGAGGTAGCGCAGATGAAAGGTCACACACACACATGAGCTACTACGTCTCTGCAAAAAACACACCTTAAGCCAGCAGATAGTGGAGCCAACAAGACTAGAAAACATACTTGACCTTATCTTCACAAATAATGAGGACCTGATAAGAGACATAAGAATATAAAAAACAACTAATTCCGATCACAACCTAATCGAAGTCCAGACGTACATGCATAGGGGTCCTGATCAGCAGAATGCATGTACCTGTGAAGGTGTCTTCACAAAATACAACTTCAACAACAAGAACATCAACTGGGACCAGGTAAACCATGTCCTAAACGAAACATGTTAGGAAGATATCTTAAATGACATGGATCCAAACCAGTGCCTTGAAAGGATCAACTTCCTGGCAGCCGAAGCATGTTCTAGGCATATTCCCCTGAGAAAGAAGAGCAGGAGTAAACTGGAGAGAGAAAGACGCTCCCTCTACAGAAGACGACGAAGAGTCACTGAGCTCCTCAGGAGTGCTAGAATATCTGATACACGAAAGGAGGCGCTGACCAGGGAAGTGGAAACTATCGAACTTAAGTTAAATGACTCTTACAGGAACCAGGAGAGACAGGAGGAGCTTAAAGTTATTAGTAAAATTGAAAGAAATTCAAAATATTTCTTTTCATATGCCAAAAACAAGGCAAATACCACATCTAGTATCGGGCCCTTACTCACACAGGATGGGATTTACACAGATGACAACAAGGAAATGAGTTAAATATTGAAATCCCAGTACGACTCTGTGTTTAGTGAACCACTAATCGGTCTGAGGATCGATGACCCAAATGATTTCTTCATGAATGAGCCTCAAAACTCCATAAATGTATGCCAGATTTCCGACATTACCCTAACTCCGATAGATTTCGAAAAAGCCATTGATCATTGGATCTATAATTTCCTCACTAACAGAACACAGAGAGTAGTCAACAGAGTAAAGTCCGAGGCAGCTACGGTGAAAAGCTCTGTTCCACAAGGCACAGTACTCGCTCCCATCTTGTTCCTCATCCTCATATCCGACATAGACAAGGATGTCAGCCACAGCACCGTGTCTTCCTTTGCAGATGACACCCGAATCTGCATGACAGTGTCTTCCATTGCAGACACTGCAAAGCTCCAGGCGGACATCAACCAAATCTTTCAGTGGGCTGCAGAAAACAATATGAAGTTCAACGATGAGAAATTTCAATTACTCAGATATGGTAAACATGAGGAAATTAAATCTTCATCAGAGTACAAAACAAATTCTGGCCACAAAATAGAGCGAAACACCAACGTCAAAGACCTGGGAGTGATCATGTCGGAGGATCTCACCTTCAAGGACCATAACATTGTATCAATCGCATCTGCTAGAAAAAATGACAGGATGGATAATGAGAACCTTCAAAACTAGGGAGGCCAAGCCCATGATGACACTCTTCAGGTCACTTGTTCTATCTAGGCTGGAATATTGCTGCACACTAACAGCACCTTTCAAGGCAGGTGAAATTGCCGACCTAGAAAATGTACAGAGAACTTTCACGGCGCGCATAACGGAGATAAAAACACCTCAGTTACTGGGAGCCTTGGGTTTCCTAAACCTGTTTTCCGGAGCAGGGGGGAGAGATACATGTTATAACACCGGGAAAATCTAGGGGGGACATCCAACTTGCCACGAAAATCACTCATACAAAAGCAAAAGACTTGCAGAGATGCCCACCCCCCCATGAAAACGGGGTGTCACAGCACGTTAAGAGCCATACAATAAGTGCAGTGGCCCGAGACTGTTCGCCCCTCCAGCAACAAAGGGGGGGGATTAAAAAACAGCCCCCTGGCAGTTTCAAGCTGGCACTGGACAAGCCCCAAAAGGGTCAGTTCCTGACGCCGGCTGGGGCTGTACTTTGGTTTGCGTGCACCCGCGAAAACAGCCTGGTTGATCGGTCTGGTCCCCCGGGGGGCCTGGTCACAGACCGGGCGGGGGGGTTGACCCCCGGAACTCTCTAGGAAACCCCAGGAAAATATTTTATTATGCACCCCATCCCCCATCCCTGTGGGGTAGTAAAAAAGATTCAGGGGTACAAAATTGGCCCAGGGACTGGACCCCAAATTTTAAAATAGCTGAGCGTTACAAGGTAAGAATACAATTTAAAAAGGTTAAACTAAAATTTTACAAAGGTAATGAACTCCAGGTGGGGAGGGTCACAATCATGACAAGTTACAAAGGTTTTTACGTTACAGAGGTACTTTAATGGGTCAAGGGACGGGGGCCCCCAAAGTTTTGATAGCTGAACAGGTACAAAGGTAATGAACTCAAAATTACAAAGGTAATGAATCTGAAAGAATGGTTACTTTTTTATACAGGCTACAATCATGAACAAATTATGAAAAATGAGCAATTCACACTTAAACCCCCCGGGCACAATGTAATGATTATTGTGCAAATTTTGATTGTGAGTCACACACACACCAACACACACACACACACACACACACACACACACACACACCACCACACACGCAAACCACAAATGTGAGTAAACACACACACACACACACCCCACACACCACACACCACACACACACACACAAAACCCCACACACAACACACAAAGTTTAGTTTAAATTTTTATTATGCCCCCTCCCATCCTGGGGCGGTAGTCAAAAGTTTACAAAGGTACAAAATTTGGTCCAGGGACGGGATCCAAAAGTTATATGCTGAATTTTTTTCAAAAGAAAATAACTCCAGGTTAGTTCAATATGTTTATTATGCACCCCATACCCATCCTGTGGGGATAGTAAAAAATTTCAGGGGTACAAATTGTCCGGGACTGGACTCCAAAGTTTTGATAGCTGAGAAGTTACAGACTCCAGGTAGATCTGGTCACAATCATGGCAATTACAGAGGTAAAATCGGCCTCACTCCTATACATGGTTTTACAGTATGAAAAAATTAAA